CACTCATGCGTTGATTTGTTTTGCCAATAGATCTCGGAATCGGTGGTACAGAAGATCAGTCAAACGCAACACCACAGCAATGATAGCCAACCGATTCAAAGACCTCCTCCGCAGTCATCACAACCTGTGCCACAATCGCAACAACAACAGCAAAGTCCTCCTCAGAGGCGAGAATTATCTGTAATTTCATTGATTTGTGTTTCGATGGACTCATTGTATATCTGATGCCATTATCTGTTGCCTCCCAAAGAGCGATCACCTCTTCGTTGGCTCGCAGTCTTCGCGCGAAGAACACGAGCGTGAGATCCGACGTCTGGAGCAGTCGTGGAAGACTCAGATCCAGGAGCTCCAGAAGCAGAACCGACAGCTGTGGTCGACGGCCAACGAGAACCTGTCGACCAATATATCGGACGTCGAGAAGAATCTCGTGAAACAAAAATGTGATCCTATTTGTAGACAACACGAGCGATTAGTGGTCGACTGTTATCACTCGAATAGATCCCAACCCTTAAAGTGTTCCAAAGAAGTGAAGGCTTTCGTGGATTGTGTACATCAGGTCCGGCGAAGTGTTCTCAACAGAAATGGTTAATGAGTTTAGTTTAGAAGACAATTGTTTTTTTGTTTTTTATAGTCTTTGGCTCCGATTATCTCATAGTCTCTCATGTTTTGTGACAGACTTTTGATTGAGTTTTGAAATTAAGCCCAAATTTAGAGCTCATTATATGTTTGACATAAGATTTTACTTAACTATTGTTTAGTTGAATATAAATATAATTATTGATTATAATTAAAGTGAATTAAATTAAATTTTCAATTGCTTTTAGTGTTTCTTAAACTAAACTATGCGTTCATTTCTGTAAACTATTTTTAATTTAATTTAGAAATAATTCATTAGTCATTAAATGTATTTAAAAAATAAATATATATAAAAATTGGAAAATAAATCGAAATTTAGCGAATAAATTAATTTATAAATTTTCTATTTGTGTTCATTATTTCAAAATTTCATGTGATTTTCATCAAAGTGTGAACAAACTTTGATCTCGACTCCACTTTTACAAACAACTGTTTTTTAAAAACACTTGAATATTAGTTGACTTTCAAAATAGATTTTGATAAAAAGCAATTTCTAAAAATTATGACTCAATACTAGCTACTGTTCCCTAATAAAAATTCATTTAAATATGGAAATTATATTTAAATTATGTGTAGGTTTTATATACCGTTAAGTAGTTTATGATTACGGAATCGCTTTCTTTACGCGGAAAATGTTGATAATATTTGTGTGTTATATTATATTCTCTAATTAATCTATTATAATAAGTATAATTCATATAAATTGCTTGCAATTAATGTTGAATTCATATTTCAATGTACTATAATAAGTTATATGAAATTCTATACTATAAAAAGTTACTTATTTTCAAAGACCTATGAATAAATGAATGTAAATAAAGTAGAAAATGATTTAATGAACTCTATTTATGCTATAATAAAAGCATTGAATGCATGAATGAATGGAAATACGAGATTAACTCATAAATATAAACTTTATAAATATATTCTGTATNCAGGTGCCGTACAATATAGTAGCATTAAAAAGCATCTGTTAATCAGCTAATATCATATGTGTTGGAGGCAGTTGTCGAGCACATCCTATCAATTCGTTTACACCCATTACCACACAATAATCAACACTAAAAAACTGAGACAAAACTATCACTGCCTATCAATTCCTGTGACTATAATTGTTTGCTTCAATACACGTACACATAGTTTGCTATAAATTATTATTTGTGTCTCAATACTATTCTCACTGTTTGTCTATTGTATTGTATTTTAATTGTAAGTTATTGTAACTTTTTTAAAAAGTGTTATCAAAAATGAGTAACAAATGGGTTGACATTCAATTAAATGAGACATATAATATGAATTGCATAGCTAGCGAGTTGGTTAGCCAGGTTTCTAATACTACAGTTAACATTACTAATGGAAATGCTACTAGCAATAGTGCTAATAACATTATTATTAATAACATAAATAATATTGATTTGCAATTAAAGTCGAATAAAAGTGGTGTAAAAAGTTGTGATGAAAATTATGTCTCATTGAATCCGATTCTTGGGATCACTAGCGATGACAATAGTAAGAAGACTAGTGCCAAACGATTCGAGAGATTAGAGTCGAGGGATAGTATGCTGTCATCGCCTTCCCTCTCGCCGACA